TTAGCTAGCTGTGGTTTCTAGGTAGTTGATGGATTTAACTTCTTAACAAGAACTTGTAAATCTGTTGTTTGTTTTTAGCTTAGCATGCTAACGAAGAAAGAGAAGATGAACAGCTTCCAGAAAGTAAAATAAGGAGATTAAGAGGCGGGAGGCTGTTTTTATCACTCAGTTTGGACACGTCCTGTCCCAACTAATGTTAAGGACACAACAGTTTTACACGAAGCAGAGAAACTTATTCAGGCTGTGTCTAAATTCAGGGCCTGTATGCTTCGTAGGCCGCAGTTGAAACCAGTACGTCAGAGCGTCATGACCAGTGTTGCCAGATCTCGCGATAGAAAAAAAGAGACCAGCTCTGAAAACAAGCCCAAAATAAGCCCAACTGGCAACCCACCACATTGTGTAAAACAGAGGCTGTTTTTAATCGTACATTTATTATGGCATTACATATAAACAACAAAATTATGCTAAACAATTTGAATAAAATACTTTTAAACTCTGATAATAAAAATACATTTAGCATATGTAACAAATATGTAAATCATATTTTTTTTCTACATATTTTAAAAAAAAACATCCTGGCATCTGCGTGTGAGATGAGCCCCCAAGTGGTCGGCCACAGTATGAGTGTTTGATTGGGTGTGCGCCAGTTTCCTCGCCATCTTGTGTGGGAGCGATAAACAGGAATGAAATATGCAGTAACAAAGCTTGGAAAAGTGCTAGAAGTCAAGGTTGCTTGTAGCTACTTAGCTGCAATGTAGAAGTTAGCACGCCAGTGCCGAAACTCCAAAAATAGCTGATTGGCTGGTATGAAAGTTCACCTGTGATTTCATTGGTTGAATTTTGTATATATTTGTGAACGTCCATTGGTGCTACACAAATAACGTGACACAGGTCTGTTTTTTTTTTTTTGGGGGGGGGGGGGGTGGAGTTCGTCCTCCACTCTACACGCGTCTTTCAGGTTCTGCATACAGACTGTAGAGACCGCTGCGCTCGAGCTGACAGATTATTATAAAATGGGAGATAACCTTGTAGCCAGTTTGCAACTGCACAGCATGGATTTTCTTGTGAGCAGATAATGTACGAGCAGTGCACGATTGTGCAGGCACAGAGCTTAGAGGGAACATTGGTCTTGATCATCTCAATTCAGTAACGCTTCATGCAGCCGCCATGGTCCTCAAAGTCTGGATTCTCCAAGGCATGCAGCCTCAAAATTGAGACCCAACTACAATCTCATCTACGAAAACTAAACAATGAGATACAAATGTTGTGTTAGAATGAAAATCAGGATCAGTAATGCTCATTTTGTAGTGAAAACCTGAATCAGATGGTTAATATTAATGTAAAAACGATAGTAAAACGTTCAGAAACAACAAATTAAATGAAAAGAGATGAAATTAGTATTTTTTTTAAATGTCTGCAGTTTTCTCAGTAAAATTACCTCCATGTTTATTTGAAAATAAGTCATAAAAAATCAATCAATAAATAAATGTAACAAGTAAAGTTTAAATTCCCTCCAAAATATTCAAATACCCAAACCAGGTGATTGCATTTAAAACATTTTTGGTATTTTTGATGATAAACAGACATTTGTTTGTCTTTTACTGAATAAAATGTTGTTCCTTTGACTTGGAACAGTTCTGATCCACAAAACAATCAACAACACAAGTGATGTATGAGTGAATATAAATTTATATTCAGTCCATATTGTCTGTGTTTCAGTGTTTCCTGCAGATGTTCATCAGACTCTGCTGATCAGAGGAGATACTCCTGAGGAACAGAGGCCTGATGTGGACCAGCAGGACCCAGAGCTTCTCCACATCAAGGAGGAAGAGGAGGAACTGTGGACCAGAATGGAGGGAGAGCAGCTCAGTGTGAAGGAGGAGACTGATGCCAGCAGGTTTTCATTCACCGCAGTTCATGTGAAGAGTGAGGATGATGAAGAGAAGCCTCTGTGCTTACAGCTTCATCAGTATCAAATGGAGGACAGAGATGTTCCAACCAGCAGCTCAGCTGACCAGATGAAAGTAGAGGCTGATGGAGAGGACTGTGGAGGAGCAGAAACCAGCAGGAACCCAGATCTAAATCCTCATGGAGATGCTTCCAGCTCTTCAGAGACAGAAGTCAGTGAAGATGATGAAGACGATGAGGATGGGAACAATGCTGACTCTCAGCTGGAACACTTGTCAGACTCTGGGTCAACAACTGAAGACAGTGACAAAGACTGGAAGGAGAGCAGGTCTCCTGAGTCAGCTGTAAACTCTGTCAACAATTGTTTCAGCTGCTCTGAGTGTGGTAAAGAATTTCTCCACAACCTGTCACTTCAGAGACACATGACATGTCATTCAACAGGAAGACATTCGAGCTGTTTGGGTCAGAAGGAAAGTGTCCAAGAGAAGGACAGGAAAGTCCAGACAGGACCAAAATCATTTAGTTGTGATGAATGTGGTAAAAGTTTTAACAGCAATACACATTTAAACTTACACATGAGAATCCATACAATGGAGGAACCTTTTGTATATGAGGACAGTGGACAAAGATTTAGCCAGAAGACAGATTTAAATGGACACGTCAGAATCCACAAAGGACAGAAACCATTTGTATGTAAGGACTGTGGACTCAGATTTAACTGGAAGACAAATTTAATCAGACACATTAGAGTTCATACCGGAGAGAAACCTTTTGTATGTGAGGACTGTGGACACAAATTCAACCAGAAGAAAGGTTTAAACCAACACATGAGAGTTCACACCGGAGCGAAGCCATTTGAATGTGACCTTTGTGGACAAAATTTTAGCCAGAAGTCTGATTTGAAGAGACACACAAGAGTCCACATGGGACATAAACCTTTTGTATGTGAGGATTGTGGGAAAAGATTTGGCCGGAAGTCAACTTTAAATAGTCACATGAGAGTCCACACAGGACAGAAACTTTTTGTATGCGAGGACTGTGGACAGAGATTTACCCGGAAGGCTAATTTAATCATACACATAAGCATCCACACAGGACAGAAACCATTTGTGTGTGAGGACTGTGGACAAAGATTCCGCCAGATGTCAACTTTAAACAAACACATGAGAGTGCACACAGGACAGAAACCATTTGTGTGTAAGGACTGTGGACAAAGATTCAGACAGATCTCTAATTTATACAAACACATGAGAGTCCACACTGGACAAAAACCATTTGTTTGTGAAGACTGTGGACATGGATTTAGTCAAAAGACTAATTTAACCAGACACACAAAAGTACACAGGAAACAGAAGCTCTCCTCAGCAGTAGGGTCAAACTTTTAGTCTTCAGTCTCCTGGTAATCACACAAGAACCCTCACAGGAGGGAAACAGTGTAACTGAATATTAAGACAAGTCATAGACATATGGGAGTTCACTGTGAAGTAAAACTGCACAGTTCCAGAGTTAGGTATGAGTTGTAACACTTGACACATCTATCTAAGGAAGCCAGCAGATTGCCTTGAATCGTCACTTTGTCACGGTCTCCCATCCTGAGCAAGAACACTGGCAACAGTGGAAAGGAAAAACTCCCTTTTAATGGGGGAGAAACCTCCAGCAGAACCAGTCTCAGGACGAGCGTCCCTCTGCTTCGACTGGCTGCGGTTTAAGAGGACAGGAGGGAGAAACGAAAACAGAATGGCAGGTCCAGATTTAACCCCGATTGGACGAAAGATAAAAAAACATCTTAAAGATATAAATAATAACAAATACAAAACGTAGAGTAGAGCAAGTAAAACAGCAGCAGGGTGGGAAAATGTGGTCAATTTGTCTTCAAGCAGTCTAAGCCTATAGCAGCGTAACTAAGGGAAACCTCAGGAAACCCAAGCCAACCCTAGCTATAGGTTTTATCAAAAAGGAAAGACTTGAGCCTAATCTAAAAAATACAAAGTTACACATTTAACAAATATTTTTTTGGACCCCCCACCACCACCCTACTATGAAATATTTGTTCACTCAGCACTGTTTCAATTTCTTTATGAATGAATCCATTTCACTTGATCAATAGGAGAATACTCAAACCACTAAAAGTCCACTATGGATCTTCCTGGTTACCTACAACAACTCATCACACCTCATGCAGTGTTTCTCTTTGGTCACTTGGCAGGATGCTTCTCTCTTTGGGTTTTTTTGTGGGCAGGGCGGGGAGAGGAGGTGGAGACACCCCTGTGTTGCACATTAGCTTTGCGCTATGTTAGTGCCGGCAGTTGTCATCCGGGGTTTCGGGCATTAGGATGTGTGAGAGAAGTGGAGCATGCTTTATTCACACAAGGAGAGCTGTTGGTCAGGCTACTTCTTATTGCTCTATAAAATAGTTATTGAATCAAGTGTTTTCTAACAGTATGTAAGTAAACGTAGATGTTTAACAGCCCATTCAAATACACCAGAATGCAGGAAATGGCATTTACTTCATTCAACATTTTCTGGGAAGACCCCCCCCCCCCTCCCCATTACAAATGCTTTTGACCCCAGCGCTGGTAAGGCACTTTCATCAGTATTTAAGCAGTCTGCGTTTGCCAACATTTTCACTGCGCAGAACATCTACTGTATGTGTTGATGTGGGGAAATGACTCAAGCCTCCTACTCAAAAAGTTATTGGGAATACTGGGAGTCCTCAAACCAGCTCTGTGTAACTTTGTCCTTTTAGATTGTGGTATTGACTCTTTTGAATTTCTTGCAAATTAATTGACTGAAATGTGTCTGTTCAATGTGGTGTTGTCTTTTTCAGGTTTTTTAAGCTACATGGCTGAACTCTAAACGTTGTTTACGTTCAAATGCACTGAAACTTCTTAATCATTGTTACTTGAAGTTGACTTGTTGTTATAAGAAGTTTGCACTTTTCAGAGAGCATTATTAATAAACGTTGGCAAGAGCAACAATATGTCATGATTTTATTGATTTATTATAAAAATGTATTATTCCTGTCGCCATCACAAAAAAGTTTCAGGCTCAGGATTTTTTTTAACTTTCACGAGTCCTTCAGTTCAGTGCAGTTTGTTCGCGCAGTACTTTAGTGACAAAGCGCCACTTCAGGTTCAAGGTTCGTTATTGCCATTCGCATCATGTGATACATGAGGTGGAACAAAATTGTGTACTCAAGGTCTGAGTTATACCCAAAAATACCAAATATATAAAGTATAAAAAGAATTGGTATGTAAGGATCTAAGATAAATGATAAATTAATACTAAACAATGCACTAAAAGACCTAAGATATACTCTAAACACTAATAATGTAAAATAGTACGGTATATTAAACAGCAACCCGAACATGAGTCTGTAGTGACATATATATAGATATATATATATATATATATAGATATAGATATATATA